AATGCTTCTTAAATGTTATCTTTTTGATCAATGCTTTAATCATCAGTCCTCATTTTTCTATCTTTGACTTGATGGCGTTTTTTGTCTGATTATGCTGCTATGAAGCATCTTGGAATGCTATATTATGATAGACTATCATTGAGATGCAAATAGTTGCAGTTCGTTATTTCATTATTTTGAGGGACTAAGCAATGAATTTCTTTGAGGCAACTAAACTGGAATGCAGTAGTTCCTGTGGGAAGTTTGAGGGCCTTGTATGAATGAGAAACTAGTCTAAGATCTGAAATGATCACTCACACACATGAACTTCCTCAACACAACTGGCAGGGGTAAAAATTGGCATTTCGATGGCTTTGGCTGCAGGGTAAATATGGCACATCAGGTAGGAAAGATCTGAGGGAACATCCAGCGATTTGCTATTATTTTGTATATCCGTGTCAATTCTGCATGTGTTGACTTTTTGCAGCAAACGCTGAGAATAGGCACAAATCAAATTGCTGGAAAAAAAAAATCAGCAGCTCTGGCAGCATCTGTGGAGACAAAGTAGAGGCTAGCTGGACCCGAAATGTTAACTCTGCTTGGTCTTCACAGATGCTGCCAAACCTTCTGAGTTTTTTCCAGCATTTCTATTTTCTATTCTTGTTTCTGATTTCCAACATTCACAGTTCTTTATTTTTCTGACAAAAAATGGATACAAAACAATTATTATTCCCGATAAAGGGAACCATTTTAGTTTATGGTCACATCCACACATTAAGCAACCACATCAGCAACAATTTTTTTTTAGGAAATGGTTAACTTATTACGCTTCACAACATAAAAACACATAAGAGCAAATGTGAAACATCAGTACACATAAACCTGTAGATGGCAGTATTGGGGCACCGCTAAGGAAATTGATCGTCAAAACAAGAACGTGATCTTATCCGCCCAATTGCAACACAGGAGAGCTTGGTTTGTAAAGTGAATTTTGGGTGGTGTCAGGCAAAGGTCGTTGGATCGCTGTTGCAATAGGTTGGGAGCAAACAAGAACACGAAAATGAATTTCCTTCTGGAGTCGCTTGTCACCTTGTTCCTGTCGCTGTACTACGTATTGGAAGCGCTAGTACTGCTAGTGGTGCCAGTGCGCAGGAAGAATGTGAGTGGGGAAATTGTACTTGTGAGCGGAGCTGGCAGTGGCATCGGGCGGTATGTAGCTCTCGAGTTCGCCCGCCTGCACGCCACACTTGTACTCTGGGATATCAATGAGGAAGGCAACAAGGAGACTGCCCGACAGGCCCGAGAGAAAGGAGCTTCTAGAGTGTACAATTACGTTTGTGACTGCAGCAAAAAATCATCGGTGTACGAAGTAGCCGACAAGGTAACGACCAAGCATTCCCTCATACAACTGGCAGTGAAAACTTACGTTATTTTCTGGAGTGGTGGGAGGAAGGGGGTGAAATATAAAACGTGGGGGCTATAATTTTTTTGTCAAGAGGAGGACCAGAGGTTGCTCTCTCATTAGAGGCCACTGGTGATGAAGGGTCGCCCCACCACAGGAGAAGGGTGCAGTTGAAAAGACAAACATTCATGGCCTCAACTTATTTCACGCTGTAATAGACAACTGCTGTAAAACAACTGATTTAACCATCCATCCAGTGTCTCTGCATGTCGGTTACGGTTTGGTTAGACTGCTTATCTATGATTTGAGTAAACAGGCCTGGAGGGAAAAATGTATGAATTCGTTGGCTGCGTGGTGTTACGATGGTTAGCATGCTAGCTCACAGTGCCAGGGACCTGGATTCTATTCCAGCCTGGTCTGACTGTCTTGTTTGCACGTTCTCCCTGTGTCTGTGTGGGTTTACTCCATGACCTCTGGTTTCCTCCTGCAGTCCAAAAATGTGCAGGTTAGGTACATTGGACATGCTAAATTGCCTGTAGCGTCCAGGGATATGTAGGCTAGGTGGATTAGCCATGTAACTGTGGGCTTATGGGGATAAAGTGGGACTGAGTGGGATGCTGTTTGGATGGCTGATGCAGATTTGATGGGCTAAATGGCTTTTATCTGCACTGTCAGAATTCTGTGATTATGAATTCTGATTTATGTAAAAATTCAAATCCTTCTTGTAGCAGTCTCCAAAAGCACTGACCTCCAGAACTTGCTACATCCCTAGTCAAGCTGTTAAAGTACACCTGTAGTAACTGACATCCACCTGACTATCTGAAAGATTGCTCAAGTATGTCCGGTTCACACAAAAATAGGAAAACTTCAACCAGGCCAGTTACCGCTCCATCAGTCTGTACTTTTATCGATAAAGTGATGCAAGGTGTCATCAACAGTGCTATCGAGCAGCACATACTAAGTAATATCCTGGTCACAGATGCTCGGTTTGGATTCCGCTACGGCCTTGATCCAGACATGGACAAAAGAGCTGAATTCCAGAGGTGAGGTGAGAGTGATTACGTTGACACCAAGGCCCCATTTGACTGAGTGTGGTATCGGAGTTTTAGCAAAACTGGAGTCAATGGGAAAATGGGAGAAAGCTCTCCAGTGATTGGAGTCATACCTGACACAAAGGAAGTTGGTTAGGTTGGTTGGAGGTGAGTCATCTCATTTCCAGAATATCTCTGTAGGAGTTCCTCAGAGTTGTGTCCTTGGAGCAACCATTTTTGGCTACTTTCCTCCCTCTATCATAAGGTCAGAAATGGGTATGTTCACTGATGACTATGGTGTTCATCACCTTTGGTTACTCTTCAGATACTGAAACAATCCGTG